ATAACCTTTTAAAGTACCTATTAAAGTTACAACACATCTGAATAAGATTAATATTTTAAGTTTTTTTTGTGTGTGTGTGTGGATCATGGGGCTTGAATTCTGGGCCTGGGCACCTGTCTCTCAGCTCTTCAGCTCAGGGCAAGTGCTCTGCCACTTGAACCACAACGCCACTTTTTCTGGTGGTTTATTGGAGACTTACAGTGTTTCCTACTTGGGATGGCTTTGAATCTCGATCTTTAAATCTTAGCCTCCTGAGTAGCTAGGATTACAGGTGTGAGCGACTGGTGCCCGGCAGATTCAGGTTTTTGATAGCTTTCATTAAGAAAACAATACATTATATATTTTTACAAGACAAGTGAAAAACATATAGCTCTTTGGCTGTGTAATGCAGGATTTTGTGTCTTCATTAGCTTTATGTGTCTCTTAATATCAGATACATCTGCATGGTGGTTTGGTTTTGGTTTTGGTTTTTGCCAGTCCTGGGGCTTGAACTCAGGGCCTAGGAGGCTGTACCTGAGCCTCTGTGCTCAAGGCTAGTGCTCTACCACTTTATTCATAGCACCCCTTCCATTTTTTTTCTGAATAGTTATTGGAGATAAGAGTCTCACAGACTTTACTGCCCAGGCTGGTTTTGAACTGTGATCCTCAGATCTCAGCCTCCTGTGTAGCTAGGATTATAGGCCTGAACCACTAGCACCCAACTTCATGGTGGATTTGATAGAGTTTAAGTGATTTTTAGAGATGTATTAAAATTTTAGCAATATATTACATTTTGATAGTGCTCGAAATACTTTTCTATTGTCTTTTGGTGCTATGATTAAACTCATAGCCTTGTGAATAATAAGCACAGCACACACTCTAATAACAAGCTATGCCCTTAGCATTTAGTAGTAAGAAAATTTTTTTTATCCAGTTACATCTGGATGTAGTTCAATCTCTACTAAAACTTGGTGGTTTGTACATTATAGGCAAATATTTTGATTTCTTCATGTCTCAAGTTCCTCATTCGTAGGATGGGCTTAACATTTCAAATAAAATAAATTAATGAATAATAAAATACTTGTAGTTCCTGAGATATACTGAATACCCACTAAATGGGACCTATTAAGATTGTATTGAGGGGCTGGGAAGTTGGCTCAGTGGTAGAGCGCTTGCCTTGCATGCTTGAGGTCCTGGGTTCGATTCCTTAGCACCAATGAGAAAAAAGCCGGAAGTGGCGCTGTGGCTGAAGTGGTAGAGCGCTAGCCTTGAGCTGAAGAGCTGAGGGACAGCACCCAGGCCCAGAGTTCAGGCCCCACAACCGGACCCCCCCCCAAAAAAGAAAAAGATTGTATTGATAGCTTGGGCAGTGGCAGTATCATAGCCAATGAGGCTTATCTGAGGCACAATTATTATTGCTAATTGAAAACCTTTCCCAATACCCTGCCATGATGCCTTGAAATATAGTCGGCATTGGCAATTTTTGACAGTTGCTAAGGAAATTGAAAAAAAAAAGATTATATTGATAGATAAAACACTCTAACATTTAAGAACCTCCTATTATCCATTGTAAGCTCTCTCATTAACTGTAGGCAAAATACTATGAAGAATGATTTTCAAAGGAATGTACAAATTAAGATCTTTAAAAATGGGGCTGGGAAGGTGGCTCAGTGGTAGAGTGCTTGCCTTGCATGCATGAGGTCCTGGGTTCGATTCCTCAGCACCACATAAGCAAAAAGAAAAAAAGCCAGAAGTGGTGCTGTGGCTCAAGTGGTACAGCGTTAGCCTTGAGCTGAAGAGTGAGGGACCGTGCCCATGTCCAGAGTTCAGGCCCCAGGACCGGAGCCCCCCCAAAAAAATCTTTTTTTTTTTTTTGGTCCGGTCGTGGGGCCTGAAGCATGGGCCTGGGCGCTGTCCCTCAGCTCTTCAGCTCAAGGCTAGCGCTCTACCACTTGAGCCACAGTGCCACTTCCGGTTATGTGGTGCTGAGGAATTGAACCCAGGGCCTCATGCATTGCAAGGCAAGCGCTCTGCCACTGAGCCAACTTCCCAGCCCCCCCCCAAATCTTTAAAAGTAATTGGGAGAATCACTTAAGCCCAGGAGTCTGAGAATAGCATGGGCAACACAGTGAAACCCCCCCCCATCTCAAAAACAAACAAACAAAAACAACTACAATTAAAAAGAAAATCTGTCAATTGCATATGCCTGTAATTCTAGCACTTGTGAGGTAGAGAAAGGAGAGAATCACAGGTTCAAGGTTAGGCTGGGCTGCATAGCAAGATCTTGACTCAAAAAATTAATTTCATTTTTAAAAATAAGCATTTTAGGACTGAGCTAGCTACGAATGCTTGCTTAGCTTGCACAAAACCATAGGTTTGATTCCAAGCACTACCAAAAAAGGTTTTATTATAAAAGTTAGTAATTGTGTTACAGATCTTTCATAAAACAGAGAAAAAAGAAGAGCATTTGTTAATTTTACCAGTTTTATGCTGTATTTCCTCCTTGTATTTTCTATCTAATGTAGATTATGTTTTGTAAAAAAAATAAGTTTGACATTTTTATTTTTTCATAGAGGTTTCATATTAGATTGTTATTTTATTGGAAATTTTAAATGTATGACAAATCTCAAATATATTTTATGCAAAAATATTTTATTAAAGTCAAATCAAAGAAAAGAAGTAGAGGTAAGTGTTTAACTGTTTTATTTCCTTTTTTTTTCTTCTTATTTTTTGGTACTAAGGTATGAACTCAGGACCCTGGGCTTGTTAGGCAAGCACTCTATACATCTCTTGCTCTTTTTATTTTTCAAATAGAATCTCCTTTTTATTCCCAGGAAGTCCTGCACCACACTCATTCTGTTTGTGTTTCCTATCTACCTAGCTGGGATGACAGCTATGCAGTACCAACTATAGATTTATTGAGATAAACTCCACTCTGGGCTAGTTTTGAACTGGAATCCACCCAACCTCTGCCTCTACAGAAGCTGAGATTATAGGCATGTACCATCACACTTAGCTAAGCACAGTTTTTTTGTTGTTGACTTTCTTTGAAGTTCTCCTGTTGTAGGAATTTAAATCAAAGTTCAAACATTGTAAAATATGTATTGGGGAAATCACCCACATATCTATTATCAAATAAATGGATAATCAAAATATGATACACACGAAATGGAATACTTTTTCGTTTTAAAAAGAAATTCCATGGGGCTGGGAAGGTGGCTCAGTGGTAGAGAGCTTGCCTTGCATGCATGAGGCCCTGGGTTCAATTCCTCAGCACTACATAAGCAAAAAGAAAAAAGCTGGAAGTGGCGCTGGGGCTCAAGTGGTAGAGCGCTAGTCTTGAGCTGAAGAGCTGAGGGACAGTGTCCAGGCCCAGAGTTCAGGCTGAGGGACAGTGTCCAGGCCCAGAGTTCAGGCCCACGACCCGACCAAAAAAAAAAAAAAAAAAAAAATTCCATGAATGATAAACAAATGAATTTTGAAGACATTATGTGAAACAGGCAGTCAAAAAAGTAATAGCTGGGCGCTGGTGGCTCACGTCTGTAATCCTAGCTACTCAGGAGTCTGAGATCAAAGCCAGCCTGGGCAGGAAAGTCTCTTATTTCCAATAAACCACGCAGAAAACCAGAAGAAAAAAAAAAAGGTAATATACTATTACTATAACATTTAAATCACATGAAGTACCTAGAGAAAACGGGATGGAAGGGAAGGCAAAAGGAGTTTTCTTTTAATTGGTATGAAGGTTTGAGTTTTGTAAGATGGAAAAAGTTCTGAAGTTCAACAGTGATGATGGATGCACAGTAATATGGATGTACTTAATGTTCCTTAACTGGACACGTAAAAATCTTGATGGTATATTTTTAATTTCTATTTTATAATTTTAGTTCCCCTCATATTAGAGATATACACATATTTAACCAATACATAATAATGCAATAATAAGTAACAAAGCAAATCACTATCTAGCTCAAAAAATAATGTTTTATCACAAGAGTACTCTTGTGTCCCTCGTTACCACCTTTCTTCTTCATAACCACGACCAGGACACTAACATTTGCTTAAAAAAAAAAATCAGAAAAAAAAATCAGACTGTACAAAAAAAAGTGTATTCATTACCTGACTTACTGTAACCCCTCTCTAGGTCACCTTTATAATGATAAAAAATAAACATTAAAAATCAGATTGTAATGTAATAAGACAATGCAAGAATATTTCTTAAATTACAACGTTTTGTAAGTGGACAATAAACTTAAAAACTTTGAAGTGTTGTTTCTCCCTTTCCTTCACTCTTCAAACTCTTCTGGTTCCACAGTTGACCTCACCTGCAAAGTTTAATTTAAAAAAATCCTCAGTGTAGATTTTCATTCCTCCCTCTCTCTCTTGCCTCCAACTACAAAGAAACAATGATTTAAACCCTTTGTGCCCTTTTAGAAAATTACACAGATACCCCATTGTGGAACCCAATAATCCCTTCGTGGAAAGGAAGAGATTAGCATATGAATACAAAGCAAAATGAATCCAGAATACAAAATGATCTACTGAATTGTGAAGCTCTTGTATTCTTAAAAATGTATTTATTTCCGTTTTTCTTTTTGTATTGCCGCCCCTTTAGTGGTCTCAGGACTAAGGGAATTGAGTTTCCTCTCTGGTTACCCGGAAAAGGATTTAAAAAAAAAAAAAAGCCAACAGAGCCGGCTCCCAGCGCCCGTGGAATCTGCTACGCTCGACAGGAGCTAGCTTGCCGGCGAAGAGTGTAGAAAGTGCTGTTCGCAAACTGCGTGGTGAAGGAGAGAAAGCGACCAGAGAGAGAGAGCCATAATGCTGACGTTGAAGGCCCGGCCCTGTGAGGTTGCATAGGGTAAGTGGCGTTGGCCAGGAGGCAGCGGCGGAGGGGAAGGAAAGAGGATTTGGGTTGGGGGCGGGGCTTGCGGCACAGCGTGCCTCCTGATTGCTGGAGCTCGGCTGTCAATCTCGCAGAATCGCTCGGTTAACCAGTGCTCTAGCGAGACGCGCTCAGCTATACTGAGAGAGCCCGGAGAAGTAGTCTCAGATCCTGACGGTGCAGCAGCCCGCAGCCTCAAGCCAGGGAGTCCCAGCCGCTTTTCAATGGAGGAGAAGCCCGGCCAGCCACAGCCTCAGCACCATCACAGCCACCACCATCCGCATCATCACCCCCAGCAGCAGCAACAACAGCAGTCGCACCACCACCACCATTATTATTTCTACAACCATAACCACAACCACCACCACCACCACCATCACCAGCAGCCTCATCAGTACCTGCAGCATGGAGCCGAGGGCAGTCCCAAGGCCCAGCCAAAGCCGCTGAAACATGACCAGAAACACACCCTCCAGCAGCACCAGGAAACGCCGAAGAAGAAAACAGGTCTGGGAGAGAAGACGAGTGGGGGAAGGGGCTTGGGGAAGGGGAGGGGGAAGGGGGCTTGGGGGGGTGCTGAGGAGATGGGGGTGGGGCTTTCTGTGAAAAGCGTGGATGGGGTCGGGGCTTCTGTACCTCGCGGGAACCCGGGAGCACACCCCCCCCTTTTCATCTTCCACCCCACCCCCAGTTCGGGCCCGGCCTTGGGGGTTGCAGCGCCTCTCCTTCCCCTCAGCATGGGAGAGGCCCAACCAGGCCGGCGTGACCTTCCCGGCCCCCACTCGGGCTGGAGGGAAACCCGCAGGCTCGGCCTTGGAAGTCGTATCTTAAGACCCCTTCTCGGTTCACCTTCTGCCGCCTTGGAGTTGCCCTCATTTCGGGGTGCTGTGAGGCGGTGAACCTATTCCCCCCCCCCTCCAAAAAACAAATCCCTCGAGGTGTAGGGAACTCAGGCAGGCCGAGGGAATCCCGGCTCGGGCGGCGTCGCGAGCCCCTCAGCAGACGCCGGGGCGTGGGGTAGGTGGGTCGAGCCGAGGACGCGTCCTCTCACAGCCGCCACCCCAGGCCCACCTGTGGCCTTGGGGTTCCCCCGTCTGAGGAGGTGGGGGCGGCTGGGACCCCTCGTCTCTCAGATTATCTCCGGCCCTAAATGCCTTTGTGGCGGACGTGGGGCTGGGGAAATGCCCTTCAGTCTGGTCCCCGAGCCGCCTCCTCAGGCCGGCGCCCCGGGCCCGCTCCCCCCGGAGCCGGCGCGGCTGGAATGTTCTCTCCTCCTCGCGGGGCCGCTTCCTGTCCGCCATGTTGGAAGCCGATTTCTGTCACCGACTCCGGCCCGCTGAGCGGGGGGAGGGGGGAGG